TATCATATTTATTACATGTGCCTTAACATGCTTAAACATAATCGAGAAGAATATTAGGTAAAATCTATTTAATTAATTTAATTTGAATCATTTTGTAAATTATTTTTTAATCAAAACTTAATAATTGGGCTCAAATAATAAGGTAATGCTATGTGAGTGACAAGCAATTCTTTGTTATTCGCCAAATACATTATAAAAGTAATTGAGTACTGTTTTAAATAAAATTATTTTTAGAAATTTTTATACTTTTCAAACAATTTATCCATAATAATGCTTAAAATAATCAAAATTATTCAAAATATTTTCCCCTTGTTAATCATTTCCCTGATGCATTTTTTATTTTCCGGAGTTTCCCTATAAATTCCGTCCCGGAAACATGGGAATTTTAGGAGTTTTCAAATAATGATGAACATTACTTGTATGCAATTTTTGTTAAAACATATTTTGTTAAACATGATAGATTTTTACATTTTTTCACCTTGTTCATATAGCTGCATATGCTTTGGGCTGCGGGTTGTTTGGTATACTATTTTCGGTAATAGGTTTGGTGGGTATTGGGAAGGAGAATAAATGGATCGTGATCGTTACACTTGTGCTGTTCATTGTTGGTATTATAGCAAACTATGTACTCAAGGAGTTTTGGTTGGCCGCATGGGCTAAATTGTGCGCTGTGTTAACGGTTGTGTATTTGTACTTGATCATTCAGAAAGAAAAGCATGTTGATTATGATTTACATGAACGTCTGATTTAATTGCTTGCTTGTTTATGTTGTATAAAATGTAAATAGTTAATTTTGAATTTTATTGTACAATTCATAAAATTTTGATCATTCAGAAAGAAAAGCATGTTGATTATGATTTACATGAACGTCTGATTTAATTGCTTGCTTGTTTATGTTGTATAAAATGTAAATAGTTAATTTTGAATTTTATTGTACAATTCATAAAATTAAATATGTAACTTTATATATAATTTGAATTTATACAGTACTTATTCAATCTATTTATAATTAGATTGATCATAAAATAAGATACACAAAATAACATTCAATTCTAAAAATAACATCGGTGATTATTAATATAGAAATATTAAAGGTAGAAAATAATTAAACATTTCTATTGTATTTACAGTTATCATTGTTTTGTATACTTAATTGTTATGTTATATAAAACATGCTTTAAATTTCATTAATTATTGTAATTTTGCGATTATTATAATTAACTTTAACTAATAATATTATTATCATCTAATAATACCTTATAATATAATATACCTTATTTATAACATAAATTATGCTAAATAAATAGTTTATTGTTTTGGTAATAAATTAATAGAAATGTTAACGTGTTAAATAACTAAAAATTTAATTTGGATTATTTTTATAAGTTGTAAAATAGTCATAAAAGTTTAAAATTACAATAATTTCATTGATAATAAATTTATAACATATTTCTACTCTAATTCATAAATGTTTAACATATAAATCAAGCATTAAATAAATATTTATAACAAACATAATGAGTTTATTATATTATGTTTTGTAAATATGATAGCGATAAAATTACAGTGATATTTATAAAAATAAATCATGTCTACAATAATTAAAACACTGTGCATTTTTTATCACCAACATAAAACTTTAAAAACATTATCACTTTTTGGTAATATTATATTATATTTAATACTAAAAATTAAAAGTTTATATTAAAAATGGGTAAACATTTTCAATGATAAATTCAAATGAATTACATGCCTGTGATTGTATCTAGGGAATAATAGCCGAATTTTACATCTATGGTCTTTCTCAATGCACTTAAAAACTTTATATTTATTATAAAAATAAACAAAAATAAAAGTTGTTTTACAGACTAACTCTGTTTATACAGTTATGAATACATTAAGTGATTAGTGAAAGTAAAACTAGAGAGAGAGAGAGAGAGAGAGAGAGAGAGAGAGAGCTATAAAAATCAGAAAATAATAAAAACAAGGTCTAAAAGCGGACTTATAAATAGAAATTATTCATAAAAGCAGATATTTTGATGCATATATTGATTACCGGCCGCTAAAACATTATGCGCGCACATGTGTTAGCACACCGTTAGCACAGAATATGTAATTACATACCAGTGCTGAGCTTATTTCAAGGCATTCAACAATTATATCCAACACACAAACACATAGACACAGTTACCTACCAGTCCTTGATCTTGGCATTTATGTAAAACTCATTCATATTTAAATTTGTGTTTTATAATTATTATAATATTATTTTAATTAGATATCATAATTAGTGAGACAATATAAGGGGCGATATTGTGTTACATTTATGCTAATACCTGGCTATTAGACCATAGGATACACAACTTTAGTGTTACTTATAATTATTATTCAGTAATAATAATGGCGTTCAGTAACCAAAAAACATTAACAGCGGTGAAGATCGGTCTGGAAGTGCTGTATGTGTTGGCAATCATTGGCTGTATATTTTTGATAGTGGTTTGTGGTATAGCGTTGGGCGCCAGCGATAAGGACCGACAGGAAAACAATATTAATAAAGACCAAGGTAATTTTATTGAATATTGATAACAGTATATTCATAAAAGATTTACATAGAGTATATAAATATCTATGTAAAACTGCATAACAGGTATACACTGTTATGTAATGGTTGGTGAAATATAAAATTTTTAAACGTGATAATTTAACATATTTATTTATTGTAATTGTTTATACAGTGACCGCCGCACTGGTCATCGCGGCGTTAGGGTTAGTAATATCTATCGTGGGTTTGGTGGGCATTGTCAAGGAAAACAAATGCA